TCCCATGTTATTTATTGATGAATGGAGTTTGTTCTTTTTTCCTTGTTTGTTTTTCATTAAAATGGTGCCGATTGGCTTTTCCACCATGTCCAAGGCTGGTCCACAACAAAATGGCGCCAGTTTACTATATAAATTGATTGATTGTCAGACGGTCCAATCGTATCCCCTTGATAAAGTCACGTGACTAGTGATGAAACGCATCGGGGAGGAGTGTGCGGATGACGTCACAACATTGCCATTCATCGGGATAGCGGCTTGTAGTACTCTACAAACGGCTCTTGAAACGGTATTACAGCAGGCAATAGCATTCATTAAGTGGCCCGTGCTTTGCCTTGCAATTTATTAGGGATGGTGTCTGTTTTGAGCTTGTACAGGACTCTGCTGCTGAGATGATACTGCCATCTTGTGTTTAATCAGTACATCACTGGATCTTCATCATACCTGGTGCAAAATACACCTCCGAACGTGAGTGTATATTATATGTTTTAATTGATGAATAAAAGTTTATAAGGATAAAGCACTATGTTGAGTTCTTTTTAATGAGGAATACGGCTGATACAAAGACACTTATCAGGAGGGAGCTTACTTTGGAGTTTCCATTCAGCAGGCTGATCTTCTGAGTCCATATGGGAGCAAAAGTGCAGTTAGACTGTAACATTGTATAATGTGAGGTCACACTGCGTGAGGTGAGCAGGTATATGGTGGAGGATGTCTTTACATGGGAATTGATGACAGATGCACATATTTTCATTATCCAAAGGAGGGTTCACTCAATGAACACTTTATTGATTGAACTTGATTTTTGATTGACTTTCATTTGATTCATACTTAAAATATCCTTATTTTTATTTAATTTTTGTGTGATTATTTATATATATATAATATATTTCTATTTCAATATTCATATTTTTTTCTACTATTTTTTCTTCTAGTAATTATTTATTTATTTTTTCACTTTGTTTTTTGGTAATATAATGGTTTGTACCATTGGTTTATGTAGCGCAGCATTTTTTCATCCCACTTTTTGATTGGCAATTCTTTTACATACATCTGTCAGTGGAGAACCCCGCTGACAGCTGAGACATTAATACATGGTTGTCACTACTAAAATGCTGCATGACTTGATAAAATAACTCATGTGGTATTTTAGTAGCGTTTACTTTTTTTCTGACCTCAGGAACGGATTAATTGGTTTTCAGTGCATTCCTATGGGAAACAGCGTTTCGGTTTACAAATTTTTTTCAATACGAAAAGTCAAGCAGAACTAATTAAATTCGTAAACCGAGGTATGCCTGTACTTTCTAAGATTAGGTTTGAACTTTCCTCCAGTTAGTCTAAGGTCATGTCCCCGTGTTCTTGATCTTGGTTTCATATTGAAAAATACTGCCTTCTTGACCCTTGATTTATATAAAGGCTTCAGTCATTTCCTTTCTTTCCTCCAGACTGTACATATTAAGTTCCTGAAGTCTCTCCTGATATGTTTTATCCCCCAGACCTTTCATCATTTTTGTTACCATCTCTGGACTTGCTCTATCTTATCAATATCTTTTGTGAGAGTTACAAAACAAAATGTAGCGCTTAATCTCTCATAATTGGCATAAATGTTATTAAATCAAAAGAAAGTCTTAAAAAGAAAAAGTCCTTTAAAGTTGTGGTTAAATCTTCCATATATCACATTGGAAAAGGGGTGATGAGTTGTCCCAAAAGAGAAAAGAAATCCTCCACCAGCACCATAAACAGCCTCTTACCAGAAGGTAAGACCACAGGTCATGCGGTCTTACACAGCATATACGGACGGTCAAATGGAAGGATAGAACCATATATCTTCTACACCTGAAGGCAGCTCCACAGCTTACACCAAAAAGGTTGTACTTCAAAATGATGGTTACAAAATAGGGATGGAAATATAGGACCATAGAGCTTCTCCACCAATAGCCAACTCCACAATTTATACCGTAAAGGTTATACTTCATTAAACCATCTCAGGATGTTAAGATACCTGTAAAAGAGAAACAGAAGCTCCTCATGGCATAGTATTAAGGAAATGCAATGTTTGACAGAAGATGCACTTACAAAATGGCCCGCAGTACGTGGGTGTGATGTGACGTCAGAGGGCGTAGCTCCATCCTACGCGTTTCATCATCAATGGCGTAGTCAGGGGCCCCTTTTTGTGGAGAAGCTCTATGGTCCTATATTTTCCATTCCTATTTTGTAACTATCATTTTGAAGTACAACCTTTGTGGTGTGAGCTGTGAAGGTGCTTTCAGGTGGAGAAGATATATGGTCCTATCCTTCCATTTGACCGTCCGTATATGCTGTGTAAGGCCGCATGAGCTGTGGTCTTACAGTCAGGTCCATAAATATTGGGACATCAACACAATTCTAACATTGTTGGCTCTATACACCACCCACAATCGATTTGAAATAAAACGAACAAGATGTGTTTTAACTGCAGACTGTCAGCTTTAATTTGAGGGTATTCACATCCAAATCAGGTGAACGGTGTAGGAATTACAACAGTTTGCATATGTGCCTCCCACTTGTTAAGGGACCAAAAGTAATAGGACAGAATAATAATCATAAATCAAACTTTCACTTTTTAATAGTTGGTTGCAAATTCTTTGCAGTCAATTACAGCCTGAAGTCTGGAACGCATAGACATCACCAGACGCTGGGTTTCATCCCTGCTGATGCTCTGCCAGGCCTCTACTGCCACTGTCTTCAGTTCCTGCTTGTTCTTGGGGCATTTTCCCTTCAGTTTTGTCTTCAGCAAGTAAAATCATGCTCAATTGGATTCAGGTCAGGTGATTGACTTGGCCATTGCATAACATTCCACTTCTTTCCCTTAAAAAACTCTTTGGTTGCTTTTTGCAGTATGCTTTGGGTCATTGTCCATCTGCACTGTGAAGCGGCGTCCAATGAGTTGTGAAGCATTTGGCTGAATATGAGCAGATAATATTGCCCGAAACACTTCAGAATTCATCCTGCTGCTTTTGTCAGCAGTCACATCATCAATACAAGAGAACCAGTTCCATTGGCAGCCATATATGCCCACGCCATGACACTACCACCACCATGCTTCACTGATGAGGTGGTATGCTTAGGGATCATGAGCAGTTCCTTTCCTTCTCCATACTATTCTCTTCCCATCACTCTGGTACAAGTTGATCTTGGTCTCATCTGTCCATAGGATGTTGTTCCAGAACTGTGAAAGGCTTTTTTAGATGTCGTTTGGCAAACTCTAATCTGGCCTTCCTGTTTTTGAGGCTCACCAATGGTTTCCATCTTGTGGTAAACCCTCTGTATTCACTCTGTGAAGTCTTCTTTTGATTGTTGACTTTGACACACATACACCTACCTCCTGGAGAGTGTTCTTGATCTGGCCAACTGTTGTGAAGGGTGTTTTCTTCATCAGGGAAAGAATTCTTCGGTCATCCACCACAGTTGTTTTTCCATGGTCTTCCGGGTCTTTTGGTGTTGCTGAGCTTACCGGTGCGTTCCTTCTTTTTAAGAATGTTCCAAACAGTTGTTTTGGCCACGCCTAATGTTTTTGCTATCTCTCTGATGGGTTTGTTTTGTTTTTTTCAGCCTAATGATGGCTTGCTTCACTGATAGTGACAGCTCTTTGGATCTCATCTTGAGAGTTGACAGCAACAGATTCCAAATGCAAATAGCACACTTGAAATGAACTCTGGACCTTTTATCTGCTCATTGTAATCGGGATAATGAGGGAATAAACACACACACCTGGCCATGGAACAGCTGAGAAGCCAATTGTCCCATTACTTTTGGTCCCTTAAAAGGTGGGAGACACATATGCAAACTGTTGTAATTCCTACACCGTTCACCTGATTTGGATGTAAATACCCTTAAATTAAAGCTGACAGTCTGCAGTTAAAGCACATCTTGTTTGTTTCATTTCAAATCCATTGTGGTGGTGTATAGAGCCAAAAATGTTAGAATTGTGTCGATGTCCCAATATTTATGGACCTGACTGTACCTTCTGGTAAGAGGCTGTTTATGGTGTTGGGTGGAAGATTTCTTTTCTTCTTTGGGACAACTCATCACCCCTTTTCCAATGTGATATATGGAAGATTTAACCACAACTTTAAGGACTTTTTTCTTTTTAAGACTTTCTTTAGATTTTGTAACGTTTATGCCAATTATGAGAGATTAAGCGCTACATTCTAGTTTGTAATTCTTCCCAATGACCGCAAGTGTAAGGAGCATTCTTACTTCTGACTATCACACTAATGTATCACGAATTGTAGATAAATAATTTTAGCAGGGGTTCCCTGAGACCGGAAAGTTATGTCAAGGGTTCCCCTGCATTGAAAAGGTTGAGAAAGGCTGATCTAGCACAATGTCCCAGTGCTCGTGCACATACAATGTACCTCTGTCAGTGTTCTCTTTTATTTCCTGCAGCTCCATCTGTCAGGCTCAGCCTTTGTTTGTCCTGTCCTGGACAGCACCGTGCAGACATGCCCTCTCTGCTCCCTTACACACACATTGACTCCCAGGAGGGTGGGACCCGGAACTCTAATCCTGACTCTCCTACGAACCTAGCACACGCTTGAACCATCAGTGAGTCCGTCCTCTACAAAACCTGGCACGGACTGCCTTTCACACTGTGACAGAGCCACTGCACTGTCACATCCTGTAAATATATTGACAGTGTTAGAAGGACAGCACTGTGCAGAGCAATACAGCCATCATCTGATTGGCTCAGAACTGCCCCTCCCTCTCCAATGTGAATGCTGCTGTGCAAGGAAAGAGGCTCATATGAAAACAGATTCAGGTATTTAGGCTTGTTGCATTTAAAAAAACATTGATATTCTATATAACTGAACTGAGGAGTGGTTTCTGCCTAGATTTCAGCTTGATGTCAACTTCGTACATCACTTATTGCCTTATTTAGTTACGTCTTATTTTATTTTTTTTACTGTTAAGCTTGTCTAAATGCTATAAGTGGAATTAATATTTGCCTCTTTTCCATTACAGACGTTATTATAAAGAAACCGATGGATTGAAGATAGACGTAGGTGCCTACATGAAAGCTCTGGAGGTAAATATTCTTTTTACTTCTCTGGTGAATATGGTTGACTCATTACATCTCAGTAACCTCTCCACTCTTTTTATCAGTATGCCTGTGATGTCACGGCGGAGGTTGTGGGAAAACCATCAAAGAATTTTTTCATGTCTGCACTGGATGAGATGGGAGTGAAGCCAGATGAGGTAACATGTGGCTGTATATGGGCAGATATATTGCATCTTCAAGTATAATGGCAAGGAGACCTGCAACTGCTTAGTGGTGCACAGACATTACTTGAAACCCTCTAGTTGGAGGAATGAAAGACTGGGCTCACTTGTAGGGAAATTTTCTAAGGAGCTGTAAAATCTTCCTTGAGTCTGGATCACCTATGATCAGCGGTGTATTTACCACAAGGGAAACAAGGTGTTTGCCTAGGGCAGCAATTTGTAGAGGGGTAGCACTGCCCCCTGGAAAAAGGGACCTGGTGACCCATACAGGGCCACCATCAGAGGGGCACCACTGGTACTCCTATAGGTGGCCTGGACAGCAGGAGGATCGGTGTGGTGGGGGAGGGCAGTTGTAGAACAATGCACTGTGTATCTCTCCCTCCAGCAGCTGAAATCCATTTCTCCCCCTCTCCCTCCTGCCGGCTTTCTGTTGCTGGAGGGAGAGACAGACCTGGCCGGATCGAGGGGTTGCCCTGGTGTTCCTAAGTGGCCGCTGAGCTCCTTTCCCCACCCGCACTCAGAGCCAGGACAAGGGGACACCCTGGAGCAGGGAGAGAAGTTGTGGAGGAAAGCCGGCAGGAGGTGCGCTGTGTTTTGTTCTCCGAGCTCTCCCTCCTGTCAGAACAGTGCTCATCCATGCAGCATATGAGACAGGATCATTGATAGATCATATGGGACTACACACACACACCCCTCTCTGTCATTGGGGGGGGGGGGGGGGGGCACATGATTTTTGTGTTGCCTAGGCAGCCAAAACCTAAATACACCATTGCCTGTGATTGCTAAATGCAATCAATATTGTCCCCAGGAGGTCAGGATCCTTCAGGTTATCACACTTGAAGTGGTGATCATGTTTGCTATTACTAGGCTGGTTATGACCACCATCATTTAATAGGATAAGTTGGAATAATATTTTTTAATTGTAACATTAGGGACCATTTAAAGCTTAATTGAAACCTTAGTTTAAATCATCTAAATACATTCAGCTTTACCTAAATAAAAGGTGTTCAAAAGTCTCTTATTCATTTTCTTTCTGAAGCAGTCACAGCAGTAGAAGAGCCTGTCCCATTCCACCATGTTGCAGAGTGTTGTTTTCTGTAGGTATACAGTAGTCTAAAGCTGGTCATAGAAGGATTGAATCTTGGTCAGTTCAGCAGGGACCGTCTCAGATTTGATCCATCTATGGGCAGGCTGATCGTACGCAAGCCTATCCATCGATCGACTTGGGTAAACCTAGCATGTTGTATTTTTACAATGTGATTATTGCCAGTGGCTATAGCTGCTAGCAGTAATTACTGTGTTCCTCTCCTGGCAAGTACGACTCCTAGCTCCCCCCTCGCTGGAATAACACAATAGCTGTGAGAGAGGAAACTGTGGTTGGTGGAAAAAAAAACACATCATCTATGGCCTTCCTTATTACAGAGGTCCAACATACCCTCACAGAATCAGACCTGCAGCATAGCCTTATTGTTAGCAAAGCTCATGGTCCCCACTGATTGGAGATCTCTGGCTCTGACCAGACCTTTTGTATGATACTTGTTGTAGTTGAGGGCTTACTTACTGAAAGGTCCTTAAATAAACTCTGTATAAATGCAGTTAAGGTTGCACCTTGGTAGTCTTGAACACAGTTTCTATTATCTTTCACATAACAGGCTATCATGATCGGGGACGATGTGGTTAATGACATTGGTGGTGCTCAGAACTGTGGAATACGCGCAGTACTTGTCAGAACTGGAAAGTACAGGTTGGATTTCTGTGGGTGTGTGTGGGACTGCTTCTCAGTGTATGTATATGTATGAGAACACAGCCTGATCTTCCTCTTTTCTAGGCCTAGTGATGAAACCCATCCTCAAGTGAAGGCTGATGGATATGTGGACAACTTGGCCCAGGCTGTGGACTTCCTGCTGGCTTCTGGAGGAGCTGGTCACTGACCCACTGGCACCTTATGTTCTAGTATTAGTGCCTCCATATGACTTCAGACATCACCTATGGAGGATGATAGGACTAATCATTTTATACTTGAATAAACAAAGGCATGTATGTCACAAAAACTAATAGGATACTTGACTGGAAGTGTAGCACAATTAAAGGTAATGGCCAGTCACTTTGGCCATTTAGGAAGATAAGATGTTTTTGGAGAAGACTTCAGATGTTATAAATGTGAAACGTTCAATCATCCAGTCATGTGCAAGGAAAAAACTTGCTGATGATTGGGTATTTAAAGTGAACACCACTTCATCTTAACTTAACTTTGCAAAGCAAACATGATTTGTTTCCTTTAGTGAATGAGCCCCATTGTCTTGATTGACTAGGTGGGAGTAGAAAAAGGACATCAGAAGCTGCAAATCTGAACTAAGATATAGTGTTACCACCTGCCCAGCTGTGCAGTGTGACAGGTTATGTGAATCACAAGCATGGCTGAACAGATTTACAAATCATTTGGCAAGTTAAAGGATAAGTTCACCTTTGGGAATATGTTACATGTTCCACCTGTTTTTATGTAACATGATGTTCCCATAGCCGCAACGGCCGCCCGCCACCCCCCCCCCCCCCCCCCTCTTACAGATAGTACCGGGAGAAGTCTTGTCAAATTTGAAAACCGCATGCTCATCTGGGGCCCTGCCCGCACGGCCACATCATTCATTCACGGACTTCTATGAATGAATGAACTGCAAGTCCTGACATCCTTAGTGGCTGTTGGCTTGTAGTTTTCAATGAACTGCAACAGCGCTCTGGAGCGCCGTGGTAGTTCATTGAACCTTCCTGTCAGTATATCTGTTTGCTCGAACATCACGTACAGCAAGCAGATATTCTGACAGGTCTGCAGGAGACCTGCATGGCATCAGCGATCTACTGATCACTGGTGCAATGCTTTCCAGACAAAAATATGTGCACTTTTTTTTACCTACAAAACAATGTGCATTTATTATTTTTGTCTAAAAGGCTGTCTCTTCACTTGCATTGATTTTTCTAAATAAAATTGGCACCTTATGCTCCCCGCCGACATCACCATGTACCTGCCCGCCCTTTGTTTGTGGGATCTAGTTTTTAATCTTGCAACCTATGGCAGAGATTTCTCCAATTATTATTTCCGTTGTCTCTCTTCTGTAAAATTGACCAGACAGGCACTTGTCTTACTGAGACTTTATCTACCTTTCCTTAAACCACTTGCCCTCCAGAGAATTTACCCCCCTTCCTGACCAGGCCATTTTTTGTGTTACGGCACTGCGTTACTTTAACAAATAGAGATTTTTTTTGGTGGTATTTGATCGCCTGTGTGTTTTTTAACTTTTTTATGGCTATAAAAAAAAAATTTTTTTTTGCTATTAAACACGTCCAGTAAAAATTTTAAAAAATCACATTTTGTTATAAATTTATGCCAAAATGTATTCTGCTACATGTCTTTGCTAACAAAAAATCCCAATATGTGTAAATGAATCGGTCTACGTGAAAGTTAAAGCATTTACAAATGGTGGTAAATATACTGGGCTTTTTGTTTATTTATTTATTTTTTTACTAGTAATGGCGGTGATCAGCGACTTATAGAGGGACTGCGGTGGGCATTCTGACACTGGGGGGAACTGACTTGGTGTCACTGACATCCCTAGTGACACCAATACAGTGATCAGTGCTAATAAAAAGCACTGACACTGTACTAATGGCACTGCGCAGAAGGGGTTAACATGTGGCATGATCAAAGGGTCAACTGTGTGCTGTTTTACATGATGTTCTGTGTTTGTGCTTCACTGCAAGAGCACTGCTTTGCATGGCTGTGCTGTGCACAGCCATGCAAAGCAGTGTGCAGGAGTTGACAGGGGGGAGAACTGTTTTGTTTACTTGTTCTCTCCCCTGTCGGAGATCCTCGGCAATCACTAGGTGCCGGTGTGTAATCACCAGCCGAGACCCAGTAATTGACAGCCGCGGTCGCGTATGGCAGCATGGGTAGGACTGTGCCCCCTACCCGGAAATGCAAAATCACATATATATGTGATTTTGCGCACTGCTGCCGTCCTGTAGCAGTATTTCTGCTATAGGGCTGCGCTAAAGCGGTTAATTACATCACTGCACCATTTAGACCTGCAGTGGTGTTCTTCTTAACTCGATCCACAGGATATTACAGGGTATACATTATGCAGTGTTTTTTTTTATGGAAAAGGGATGGGAGAGTTAAAAAAAAATAACAATGGTGTTATAACTTTTGCCAACATGAGCTCTATGGTGCCTTATACATAGAAATGATTGGGTGCTATCCTAGCCATGTGACAGGACAACAGTGATTAGCATTTATCTATAGCACTAAAGATGCTGGTCTAAAATGCTGCATGTAGTGTTTTTCCATTGTATGATCCACTGGCTCCATTAACATTGTGTTGGTAAACTACACTGCAGCAAACATAACATCCAATTTTATATTTAATTACTATTGCTATCTCTTCAGTTATATCAGATTAAATCATCTGCCATACATTAGACTTATTTGTGGTATATTAAATGCAATGGGTTTATCAAATTTCTGTAGCAAAAATGGCAATTTTTCCATCTTTTTTTGGGGGGGGATGAACATTGAATTAAATCTTAAAACATGAATACTATTTTGAGTATTCTATTTGTTGCCGATTCTGAAATTAAAATGATGTATCCTTAAGGTAAATAAACTTTATTTTAACCATAATTAAATGCAGTTGCTGGCGTTTCTTCAGTAATGCTGTCACAGGTCGTTAAAAACCTCAGTTCACACACAGTGATATTTCAGTGAGGAAACAAAAAAGTCAAGATCAACGGTCTCTGTGATTGGGCCTTTGAGCTTTAGAGAGAGTTACCAAATCCACAACAGTATAATCAATCTGTATGCAGTAAAGCATGCTTGTTATACTGTCTGTGGAACTTAAGGGGTTATTCCTCTGCATTGTGTAAAAAGGATGTTTAATCCTTTGTTCTCTGATTCTCCCCTACTTCCACTGTCCCCTCATCTCCTGATAGAACAGAGCCTTGGGGAAAAGCTGCACATGCTCAGTTTGGTGTGTATTGCTATAGAGTTTTTTTTTTTCTTGGGAGAGTGCATGTGATCAGCACAGTACCAATCAGCACCATCCAGAAAAAGGGTCAGGGTCCTGCAGTCTCATAGGACAGTGAAAGGAGAATGAAAACTCCTCCTACAAGATTTAACCAGTGCTTTGCTGGACACAGATAAAAGTCACAAAACTGCTCTAACTGTTGATGAGAAAAGGTATTTAGCAGTTTTTATTTACTAAAATAGTTGCATTCCCATGTAGTATGTACTGTGGGAGACCAGATAGAGCGAATGCAGGGTCCTCAAAGGAGCACAGGTCACTCTATTCCCAATTATGGCAGATTTAATAAATTCAGCAGAACATTTTTTTTCATCCATCGGATCTTAAGTAAAGAACCTCACAGTGCAAATATGACTATTAAAGGTAGACTAAAAAATTGAACTTGAATGTAGATTTAGTTGGTTATGAAAAGGTGACATTTGGACTTTGGAGCCTGGGAAATAGGGGACAGCTGGCAGCTATGGCAGCCCTATTGATTTGTAATAGTGGCCGTATTCATAGCAATTTTCAGGCAATAAAGTTTTTATTAATGCCTTTGAAGTAGTTTTTGCTCACTTGAACTTGCTGTCACATTATCTGCCACAGTGCCTTTTCTGGGACTGTGATCTACCATTGCCCACCGCTGGCTGTCTTGTTGATGCACCTTTTCTTGATGTCATCACACCACTGCTGGAGTCTTCAGGGCCTTCAAGACCCTTGCTAATGGACAACTAATGGGAAGTGTTCACTTTTGTAGGCAGCTGAGTGTTCTCCCAATGCAGGATCCTCCCACTCAGCAATGCAGAACAAAGAAGACTCATAAGCTGGTGCATCAGGTAGGTACAGTATATTAAATTAGTATCTTTACAAATAGAATTTAAAGTAGAAGCCTAACTGTAACAATTTTTAAAAATGTTTCCAACCCACCTACTCTTACCTATCTCATGCCTAACCTGTACAAAAAAAAGATTTGTGTCCTTCCCTCATTCACAAAAAAAAACCAATTTGCTCTCAGTTTGATAACTTATACCCAGAGCTGCACCTATTTCACATTTGAATACAAAGCAAACAAAATATATACAGTATACACATAGAACAAGTGCACTACCAGAAAAATAGTTTTAAAAATAGTAAAAAAAACAAATTAATGTGAGCAATCAAAATAGAATACATATAAAGTGCACTACCAACTAAGCAGTTTGATATGTGCTAATAATCGAATGTATGTGAACAGATTTAAAGTCCAATATAAACTGCATATGGAAGCAATCCAAATATCAAAAAAAGTCCTGCACCAAATCTTAAAGTATGTGCCGGTTCTTAGGTTCACCCACAGCAACGTGAATAATGGTGTAAGAAACACTTCAAACAATCTCATGCCTTCCACCACAAATGAGGCCCTTACCAAATAGTCCATGGTGATTCTCATCCAATTAACAAACTAAGCAGCTCAAGAAAAACAAACCCAAGGAAGGCCATTTACATCAACCACATTGGGAAAAGAAAACGGAGGCTGTATATAGTGTGAAAACCGCTATCTATATATTTATTAAAAACAGACAGGTACTCATATAATAAAAGCAGATCGCATACACAAAAACACAGATGCCTCGCTGGCAAGCCTCCTCAGCAGGCGTGATGATGTCACAAGTTCAAGTCTCTCCCAACACATTTTGCATCAGAGCTGGGCTTTTGAACTGTTCACATACACATTTTATTATTAGCACTTATCAAATTGCTTAGCTGATAGTGCACTTTATACAGTATATAGCAAATAGTGCAGCGCTATACATGATGTAAAACCATAAACTAAAATATACAAAATGATGTATAAAAAGTCACAACAAATAAAAATAAAAGAAAATAAAGTGGTAAGTAAAGTTCAAGGGTGTGTCAACACTGTGATGATAATCTAAGAGTCCAATTCCAAGGAATCACCATGATGGTCTTGGCTTAGCAACATATTGCAACAGCAATCTTTTTCCATTCTTCGAGAACAACCTTTTTCACCCTGTTCTTCTTCAGAAATGCAACAGTGGCCTTAGTTGTGTGTTTTGGATCATTTTCAAGTTGGAAAAGTGCACGACGACCAAGGGCACAGGGTGATGGTAGCATCTTCTCTTTAAATATAGAACAGTACATCTGTGAATTCATGATACCATCAATGAAATGCAGCTCCCCAACACCGGCAGCACTCATGCAGCCCCACAAAAGGACACTGCCCCGCCATGTTTCACTGTAGGCACCATGCATTTTTCTTTGAACTCCTCGCCTTTGCAATGCCACATAGTTTTGAAGCCAACAGTTCCAAAAACATTTATCTTGATCTCATCACTACAGAGTCCCAGTAGTCTTCTCCTTTTTAAGCATGGGCCCTAGCAAATTCTAGGCAGGCTTTTTTTTTTTTTTACAAGGGCTTTATGAGAGGCTTCCTTCGTGGATGACACCCATGCATGCCATTCCTCTGCAGTGTATGCCATACTGTGCCACGGGAAGCAATCAATCTAGTTTGGCTTTCTACTTCTTTAGCTAACTGCAGTGAACTTGCAAGGCGATTTTCTTCAACCCTTCTCATCAAAAGACGCTCCTGTTGAGGTGTTAACTTCCGTGAACGGCCTGGACATCTCTGTGAGATGGTTGCAATTCCATCTTTGTTAAGTTTTTGTATCACTTTTGCTACAGTATTCTGACTGATAAGTAAAGCTTTGCTGATCTTCTTGTAGCCTTCACCTTTCTCGTGTCAAGAAATTCTTTTCTTTCTCAGGCCTTGTGACATTTCTCTTCCATGTGGTGACATTGCTGCCAGAACGAAATGGGAAGGGGTTTTCTTTGTTAAGTAATGCCCTTTTACTGCTGGACACCTGTTTAATGAATAATCAGCCACACTCAGTGTGTCCCTTGGACACACAGAGCTGGCTCGGAAGCGGGCATTCAGCAAGGGGATCCAAGAAGAGGAGGATCGCGGGTGCTCTGTGCAAAACCATTGCACAGAGCAGGTAAGTATGACATGATTGTTATTTTAAAGGAAAAAAAAAAAAACCTTTAGAACCACTTTAATGTCAATTCACTAAAGCAGGGGTCTCCAAGCCCCGGGCTGCTAGCCAGCACAACCTTCACTGCCAGCCTCCAACCACCAGAAGGGTGCCTGCTCCCCTTCTTCTAACATTCTCTTCCCTCTCTGTGGTCACCTTACCTATGAAGAGGAAGGGGTAGAAGAAGGGGAATAAGGGGTGGGAGGAGAGCTGGGCCAGCCTGGAGGTGACAGGCAGCATACACAAGAAAGATGACAGGCCTCACACTTCCCCAACCTCCGGAGGTGACAGGTTGCACAACATGCGCCCCCCCCCCCCAGGTGACAGGCGATGCACCCCGCCCTTACAGAGGTGACAGTCAGCACTAACACACCCCTGCTCCTCCTTCCAGGTCTGTGGAGGATTTGTCATTGAGTTCACTCCCTGATGCAGGGGAGGTGAGGGACCGCTGCACTAAAGATCACACATTTGGTATTTATCACCAGCCAGTAGGAAGCCATTGTTTTAGCAATGTACAAAGTAACAAAGAGGGGAACTCTGAACTGGCCAGTAAGTGAAAAGTATACAATGTATCCATGTGAAAATGTTCCTGAGCTCAGGAATGAAAATAAAATTGTAATGTTTTACCAGAGGGAGATCATTCTGTGAATGAACGCACGCTACAATGTTTTCATGGTTTCATAATATTTTTGTATGCATTAATTTACAGAACTATCTTCCGCTGGTGCTGTTAGCATGTGAGAAAACAATGCCAAAAATAATGCTAAATTTAAGAGATAAGGGGATCAATTCACTAAATGTTACCGCATGCAATAACACTGGTCACGTGACTCGTTTGCATAAATTATCGCATGAGATATTAAAAGTCAATTCATCAAAGTAAAATATCGAATGT